TAATGAACAAAATAGGCCCCCGTCAAATGATGAATTCTGGAGGGGGTTTGGATGGTGGACGCCTTTGTGGATGCTGCGCCATCTCGTGAAATATACAAATCTGGACGCCGGGGCGATAACGTAACACTTTCGGTTCGTAGGTTAATGGAATTTAGAGAGAGTATTCGCACACTGTTGGGAATAAATCCGAGGCCAGTATTTTCGTTGACGTTGAATTATACATAGAAGTCGGCCGCCATCGCGGTGAATATATCCGGCGAAATATTAATTCGGGCGTGAAAAAAAATCTGACCGAGAGAAATTTTTGAAGGGGAGGAATAAAATTTATTAATGGTGCAGCGAGAATGAAAATGAAAATTTCTCGAATTCTCTCAAAAATAATTTCCAGAGGTTCCTGGATTATGTTTTTATTCCCACGAATTTTCGATTCTCAGAGCTTATAAATTCCCCGAGTTATTTTTTTCGAAAACAGAAATACACATTTTGAATCCCCGCTCTTTCTATAGTATAGTCGAAGGAGGAATCGGTCGATCGGGGAGGAGAAAGGATTTTGATTTCACGAGACACAATATCGCGGATATTAAACTTTGCGAAATTTTTTCCTTGCCACGTTCCCGTCGATAACCGCGGACGGATTCGAGACACCTCCACCTCCGGGACGCGGTCTGTCGCGCCCCGAAACGAAGAATCTTGCTCGATCTGATGAAAAAACTGATATCCCCGTAAAATTTCACCTTCGTACACTGTTCATTGTGAATTAAAAATCTTCGTAATTAAAAATCTAACGAATTCCACCGTGATACTCTTTTGCGGTGTAAATCGATTACTGTATTTATAACAACAGAATGCGTAATAATTACTGTATTTATAACACGAATGCGAAATAAGGGCGTTTATTAATCCATAAAACGGTCAGGATTTCCGCTCGAAGCCCGGAAGAAATATTAAAATTCCAAACATCGGGCTATTAAAATTCCATGCACGCGAATCTTCGCAGATATTTCCCGGTGAAGAAGAAAATATCCTTCGATATGGAGGCAACCAACAATTTAAAATCATCGTCAATGCGTATCGAAATTGTTTAAAGCCTCGTCTTATTACCCTTTCTGTTTATTTTTCAATTCTGATCTCGGTCAAAGAATTCTTCGTTTCGTTCGAAAACGAACGTTTTGCGTTTCGGCCGATAAAATCGTGGAGAAAATTCAGCGGAAATACGGCATCAGTATACATACGGACCAATGAAATTAGAGGTGTTTCGACAGAGGAAGAGGCCTCTATCGAGCAATCGGTTTCGAGATTTTTTTTCCTCCTCCCTTCCCTTCCTTTTTTTCTCTCGACCGACAACGAGTTGTTTGCGACACGGAAAAACCCATGGGAGAAGGAAACGATCGAATTTGGGCCGTTGTAACGGGGCTACGTGTACACCGAAATAACCTCGGCCCGATTTGCATTTCAATCGGCCACCCTATCATTTCTCCCTCTCGAAAAAAAAAAAGAAAAAAAATAAAAATTCCGCCACCAGCTTCCTCTGGACCATTTCGATTATTGGCTCGCGTTGTTTTTCTATGGCTTCGCGATATAGCTTCTTGATTTTTTTTTTTTACGCTGTAAGGGGGAAATTTGTTAGTATTTGAACAACGGTTGAAAAATTTTTTCATTTTTTTTTTTTAAGGAAAGAGAAATGAATAACTCTTTTTTGGGAGGAGTGCAAACATATCTTGACACGTAATTTTCTTATATATGGATACATCTTATATATGGATATAATACAAATTGTTGAATGATGGATTGAGAAATTTGTCGATTTTCGAGAACGAAAAAAAGGAAAAAAAGTGTCGTAAGTTTTACTTAAAACACGAGAGAGGGAGATTTATTTTCGCGTAAAAAAACAAAACAAAAAAAAAAAAGAATTTATCGGATTCGTGCATGAAACGTTGCATGCCGCGTCGTCGTACCGATTAAGTAACAAGATCCTTGGCTACTTTGGGGAAATCAAAGTGGACCCCTAACGAAAATTGCTCGCTCTTCGTTCCTCTCGACTCACGACAACCATCCATTAATTTTCCACAATTTTCCGACCACAATTCCGTCGAATCGAATATTTCCTTCGAATAATCCTCAAAAAAAAAAAAAAAAAAAAAAAAGAATCCAAATCCCATTTTTCTCTTCACAACCATCAACGATTTCGTTCGTTTACACGCGCGGTAACAAGTTGCCTTATCGGTTGCTCGTGAATCCACGTATCCGGCTCGACGTTCCGAGGCGCGATCGTAGATCAATTCTCGATAAAGAGGAATTTCGTGAGATCAAAATTACGCGTGGCGTATCGGGAGATAGCCCGTGACCGAAATTTGCATTTCGATCGAACGTTTCTTGCGGATGGGATGCACATTTCGCGTCACTGCGGCGGATGGCAAAAAAGCGTGGAATTATCGCCCAGCCAGTCAAGGTAAAGCCCTGCTCAGCCACGCTCGATCACCTTTCCTCGGGAAAAATCTCCCGCGTAAAACTTGCGCGATCCCCCCCCC